AGAGTGGGAGTGCTGTAGTGAGAATGGACTGTTTCCAGCAAGTACTGAGCATCCATTTTCTTGCTCCACTTCAAACCTTCCGATGTGTAGATGGATTTTGCAATAGTAACATATGATGGCTAAACACTATCTTGCAATATTAAACAAACATTTTACTCTTCCATTTGTTTTTTGTCCTTTTAAGTAAGCTCAACATTTGGGGCTTGAACTCCCAACACTGAGATCAAGAGTCACATGCTCTAATGACTGAGCCGGCCAGTACCTCTGCAACTTTTCATTATAGCAACATACTTGGTAATTTTGCTCAAATAAAAGCAAGAAAAATAGATTTTATGGAATAAAGATGGAACAATTTGTGAATTAGTCACATCTTTATTTTCTTACTCATCCAGTATTGCTGTCCCTTGACCAAAATACCCATATATGTTCAATAATAATTAAGTTCTGTCATGTTTAATATTTTCATGACTTTCTCTGTGTTAAAAAAAATCAAAATGCATTTTTCAACATGTCATTATGAACACGTAGTTGTCAATACTTGCTGGAGGGTAGATTTCTTGCCTCTGCATTCCACAAGAACCCCTGTTTCTTGCCCACATGTTCCTTCCTGCACTAGGTGGAGACAGGATGGGTTTTGTTCCTGGTACTGGATGTGGAGGCACATTGCTTAGGACAGCATTGGGAAGTGGGGATGATGGAGATGCTGAAGAAGATGCGGGCACAGAGGTGGAGGCGGTGAGCACTGCAGCTGGGGCTGCCCTCCTTCCCAGCTTGGCTTCGCTTGCAGGACCGGATGCTGCAGGTACTGCCTTCTGCGGGTCAGGGAGCTGGGAGCTCGTTCTGCAGGCCCTGCTCTCCTGCTGCCAGCTGTGGCCCCCCCTGACCCAGGCTGCTCCCTCACCGCGTTCACATGGCATTTGGTGAGAAGCAGGGGTCTACCGCGCAGAGCGCCCTGCGCATGGCACACAGTACATGGGCTTGGCTTCCTCATTCTAACACCACACCCCACGCACTGAGAGAGCAGAAATCCAATCTCTTATTCACTTCGTTCGCTGGCAACAGTGGAGGCGCTCCACAAACAACCTTTAACAACACCTTCCTCTCCACGCACCCCCCCACCGCCATCCCCCCACTTCCCACAGTGGGTGCGGGGGCGCCAGCTCTGCCCAGAGGCCGCACCTCTCACCGGGAGAAGCTGGAGCCAGGCTATTGTTGTGGCTGAGATTCTTTCCTAAACGGAAGGCCCCGAATTGCACAGTAGCTGCTCTAATCTCTGTGGGGGTGCATAGGGCCAGCAGAGGGGTCCCTCCCTTGGCGCCCACAACAGCGTGAGCCCCTCCTCCTCTCTAAGCCAGACCCCACCGAGAGCCCCATCTCTCCTCTGAGCTGCCTCTTCTCAGGACCCCCACCACCTCACACATCTCCTTACAGAACCCCTCCCTTCTCCACACCCCATATTCCCTCTCAGCAACCCCCAGTCTCTCTCCCTTCCTATTCCTCTCCTCCTTCTCTCTCCCTAATTCTCTGTCCCTCTCCTTCACTCTCTTCCCCCCACTCCCCGGTCCCTGCACCCCCTCACTGACACCCTGGCACTCCTGCTGTCTTTAGGCCTCCAGCTCTCACGGGCCCTCCCCCAACACCCCACCCCTCACCTCCCATCCCACCCAGGCCAGAAATCCCTTCCTCCCTGCCCCCAGCTTCTCTGAAAGAACAAATGTCCTCCGCTGTCCCCTGCGTTGTTGGCCTCTGTCACAGAAGCACTGCCCTGGCTGGAGCTGTGATCAGTCTGTCATGCCTCTGCCCACCACCACCGCCACCCACCCCCAGCCCCTAAGCAGGCCAAACTCCGTGAGAGCAGAAACCATGTCTGACCTCTCTGCTGACCTCACAGCACACAGCAGTGTCCAGGATGATTTGTTGACAGCAGCTGAGACTGCGGAGTTAGAGAAATGATTTGGGCCGGAGGTGTCGGGAAGATGTCAGGGCTGGGCAAGAGCTAAAAGGCAGATTCGTCTAACATTTATGAGCTCTTTAAGGCACCAGAGGCTTTCCTAGTCACCACAGCCACTACTTCCTCCTGCCACTCAAGAGCTGAGTCTTGTCATTCCCATTTTACGCTGAAGGAAATTCAAAGAGGTTAAGCTTGTGCTCCAGGCCACGGTGCCAGTGAGCGGTCACACCAGGGTTAGCATGAAAGACAGGGCTGAGGTGCCTGTGGCTGGGGTGAGGGGGGCCGTAGCTGGCTGCTAAGGGCGGGGGGGGGCAGAACAGCGTGAGTCTGGGGTCTGGGGCTGGATCTGAAGGCCTTCCTGAGCCATCTCACTATTCCCGACACTGCCCCCCAGCCTACACCCCCTTCCCCCCAACTCTCTCCTCCGGAAGGAGCCGGTTCTGACTCAGACTCATTCCAATCGATCATCAAGGTGATCCGGGAATGAGCTCAATGAGCTCGGAAATAGGAAGGAAACCTCTCTCAGATTTGGCCTCCCACGGGCTCAAAGTCCTGGCTCTTGCACCGGAAGGAGCCACTTTAAGGATCTCCCTAGGGATCCATGACCAGAAAGACAGAGGATCCGGTTCATAGCAAGTGTGACCAAGAACCTTGCAGGCGGGCTGCTGGATCTCCACCTCATGATCTCCCCCCAATCCCCCCACCCGTCCCCTCTAACTCCTTGGGGGGGGGGGGGCTCTTTTACCCAGAAAGCCAATCTAGTTTGACCTCTCCTTCATGAGCCTCTCTACTAGTATGTGTCCACTGGCATCCTGGGACAGGGAACTGTCACCCTTCAGACTCGGAGTCCTTGACCACCCCCCATCTTGGACTGCTGAGGGCAGAGCTGTGTCTCCCCTCTCTAACTGGGCACTCTGAGGTCTGGAGCTGTCTTCCCCCTCTGACTCTGACAAGAGTGCTCCTACAAGGAGGCAGGGTCATTTCCAGTTACCCTCCTCAGACCCAGGGCTGCCCCAGGGTGGCACCTGTGATCCACTCTGAATCCTCTTTTTCTGTAGCCCAAACTCTGTCTTAGTCCCTAGAAAAGAGCTGAGAAGTCCCCTGCCCCCCGCGACCCTTAACTCCGGCTGCCCTTCCACCCAACCTGGAGGCTCCTTTAAGACCAAAGGGATGGGGGTTGCATCAAGTCAGACACAACAGCCCCATCCTCCCCCTCCCTCACAGGCCAGGTTTCCTGCCATTGACAGCATCCCAGCTGGGCCCTGCCCAGCCTCCATGCTTAACCCCTTCACAACCAGATCTCAATGCTAGGGGCCTGCACATCTGTAAAATTAGGTGAATAAAAGTACCCCCTTTCACTGGGTTGTTTTGAGGATTAAATGTGTTAATCACAGAACAATGCCTAGCATATGTTAATCCTCCAATAAAAGTTAGCTGTTAAAAAAAAAAAGTTAACTCTTAGTCTCATTGTGTGTTTGGATGGATCCTTTCACATCTCTAAGCCTCAGTATCCTCCACTGTTAAATGGGGAAGTAAAACCCCCTACTCCCCAAAGATTGTCCCAGGGATGAATTGTGAGCATGTAGATAAAAAAAAATTTTTTTTTTAAGATTTTATTTATTTGACAGACAGAGATCACAAGTAGGCAGAGAGAGAGAGAGAGAGAGAGAGAGAGAGAGGAGGAAACAGGCTCCCTGCTGAGCAGGGAGCCCGATGCGGGGCTCCATACCAGAACCCTGGGATCATGACCTGAGCCGAAGGCAGAGGCTTTATGAAGGCAGAGGTTTTAACCCACTGAGCCAGCCAGGCGCCCCTAGATGAAAATATTTTGCAAAGATAGATAACATAAGAATGCAATATGGAACTATCGTGGACCAATAAACAAACAAACAAAAAAACCCCAAAAAACCTTCCCTTGACTAGGTGATAAAAATCTCTTACCAGCAAATGGGCCTCCTGGTTTTTCAAACTCATTACCTTACTTGACAGGCAGAGGGTGCAGCATAAAGAGCAGTGGTTTCAGAGTTGGGTTTTGGCAAGATCCCATTTCCTCATCCATCAGGTGGAGTGGTCACCCCTACCGCCCCGCCCCCCGGAGTTCTTAGGAGAAACAAAGGAGATCCAAGAGCACAGGTGTGAATGTGCTTTGCAAACATTAACAGTTCTACAAGGGAAGGAAAGGGGTTTGTGGAAAGTGGCCAGCTAGGGGTGGGGCAGGGGCCTGTTGGGAAGGGCTTTGAGCTTTGAGCTCTGGGTGCTGCAGGTTACTGGAGAGATAGGGAGAAATTACCCGACACCAGCACTGTGGGGACAGGGCTCCGCCTTGAGACATGAGATGTCACCTTGAGAAGTCCCCAGTGGGGCAAAGCAGAAAGGAGGCCAAAGACACGGGCTTGACCCGGGAATCATCCCTTTATCTCCCTCTTCCCAGCCAATCCCATTGGCCACCAGAGGACCTTGGGCAGAGGCACCTCCAATGGGCTCCAAGGTGACTGTCATGCCAAGACATGACATGCTAGGACAGACATGCCCTGCACGTCTATCCGCAGCACCAATGACCCCACCCTTAGGCTGCAGATTCCTGGCCTCACCCCTAGGGAGAGCAGGCCTGCCACCCTCCACACACCCCAGCCAGGACAGGCCTAAACCTGCTACAGAGGAAAACAAGCACAGCCTGCTAGAACCCTGCTCTGCCTTGTCTTTTAACTAAGAGGTTCTGCCAAGGCCTAGCAGAGGGGGCTGACCCCACACTACTAGCATATCCCTACCCCAGGCCTCTGGAGGGAGCTAGGGAATCAGGAGACCTTGTTTGGGTCCTGACTGTACCCCAACCTCGCTGTGCCTCCCTGCAAATCACCTAGCCTGTCGGGGCCTGTATGACCATCTATAAAATAAAGGGTCTGGACCTGGTCTGAAGGTCCTCTCCAGTACTGAGACTGTGACCAGGAAGGAGTTAACTGGAGACCAGGCTCCAGGTCAGGAAGGCAAGGGTTAATCTGGAGGGGCGGGGGTGGAGGCTCTCTCTCCTTTTCCTGTGGAGAGTGGAGTTTGGCTGCCACCAAAGTTACTTCCAGTCCTTACTGTCCCTCCTGCCCTTGTCTGGTCCTGCCCTGGGACCCCTGCTTCAAGCCTAGCCTCAGTGAGGGCACAGAGGTGAGTGCATCCCGAGCCCAGGGCTGGGGTGGGAAGGCACTCGGGGACCCAAGGGCAGGGAGGCTGGCACCAAGCCAGTGACCAAGTGCTTCCCACCCTCCCCCACCCCACCAAGTCCAGATCTGAAGCTATGGGCAAAGTTCAGACCACTAACCACAGGACTGGGAGAAGGTGGGCAAAGGGACGGAGGGCACAAGGATGTCTGCCAGGCTTCTAGGGCTGAACATCTGTGGTCAAGCATCAGGGCCAACCCAGGAGGCAGGGAAGAGACAGTGGATGGCAGACTATTTTAGTCCCTGTGTTTAGGGACTTTTTATAGCCTTGCTGCTCAGGGCTGGGAAGAGGGAAAGGGATGGGAGGATACCCATAAGGTCAGATAAGCACAGTGCCCTCTTGGGACCTTGGAATCGGACCCACTGCCTGGTATAGTTCTTGAGAGCCAGGAGGGAGGTCATTGCCAAGCTCTCCTGGCTGCTTGCGTTCGCAGTCACCAGTCACCAACTACCTATGGACTGACTTACTAGACACTAGATAGGGATGTGTGTGTGTGTGTGTGTGTGTGCACACGTGTGCACACACACACACACACACACACACGCTGGAGTGGGAGGTTTGGCAGGGTCTCTGGCCTCCCCCTATCCTGGCAAGTTCTCTTCTTTTGTGGCCTCCTGACTGGAGGTCCCTTCAGCCCCCAGAACTTCTGTGTCCCTTTCAACTGAATGGAGGATTCAGGGACGAGGGAGCGGGGTAGGAGGGGTTGTGCTGAGCCTTGTGGGTGGCCCATTCTCTTCCTGCCAACAGCATCATCAGCTCTTGATTTACAACCCCTCCTGGTCCCCTTCCCCAGTGGCAGAGGGGAGGTGGCGGACAAGAGTCACGGGGTCTCAGGATGAGAAGAGGACAGAGACCCTGAGGGCAGATTGCTGGGAGTGCCAGTTATTGGGAAGAATTTGTGGAAGGAACTTTTTGTGAGGCAAAGGGCCCAGGTCTAATGGAAAGTGCTTGGGATTATAGCAGCAAGAAGAGAAGCAAAACATGAGAGGGACAGAGACAGGCCATCTGAACTAGTTCTGCACTGCAAGGCTAGAGACCTGGGTTTCAATCCCAGCCCCTACCTCTCAGTAGAGACCTGAGCAAGCCCTTTCCTCTCTACCAGTTTCCTTTTCTGTAAATGGAAATGCAGAGGTAGGCAAGGTGGTGTTTACAGGCGGGCACTGTGGAATTCCCTTGGCAGGGGTACAGAGGTGGGAGGTGCCTGGGTGAGATGACCTGGTCGCCACCTCTCTCTTTCCCTGTGGCCCAGCTGGGACTGGGCAGGGCAGTTGGCTGTGATTACCGGAGGCTCCTACCCTGTGGTTATATCCCTGACCTCGGGTGCTTGGGGGCGGGAAGGGTGGGCCCTGCTGGAGCCAGCCTGTGGCTGGGGAGCCTTCTTGTCTTGGACTCAAAGTTGCTGGGTTGGGAAGAGGTATTTTTTCCGGTTGAGGCCACTTTCGGGAACTGAGCCGGGACCAGCCCCATTTCCTTTTCCAAGTGTCCCACTTGCTGATGCTTGCTTGGCATGGCTCTAATGGCCAGATTGGGGCACCCTCAAAGGAGCATGTTTCTGGGTGGCCAGGGCGCCCCTGCTCAATGTCTTTGAGGGATGGGGGGAGGGGTAGCCTGAGCCTCTCTGCCCCTTAAGGATGGTACCGGCTGATTTGGATGGAGGAGGGGTGGCTGGCTGATCCTATTCCCAGGACCGACGGCAGGAGAAGTGACCATTCCTCTTTCCCTGCAGGCACCAGGAAGCCCCGGCCAGTTACTCTTGGCTCCTCAACTAGCTGCCTACTTCCAGTGGCTTATGGGGTACAATCCTGTCCAGCTCCGCTGAGATGATCCTGGCCTCTCCCTCCACCCCGTCCAGGGGACGCACCCCCAGCGCGGTGGAGAGGCTGGAGGCCGACAAAGCCAAGTATGTCAAGACCCACCAAGTCATAGCACGACGCCAGGAGCCCGCTCTGCGTGGGGGTCCCGGACCGCTCACCCCGCACCCCTGCAATGATCTGGGGCCCCCTGCATCGCCCAGGATGCCCGGGCCCGCCCGCCGGAGCAGCGGCAGGCGGCTGCCAAGGCCTGACTCCCTCATCTTCTACCGCCAGAAGCGGGACTGCAAGGCTTCGGTGAACAAAGAGAACGCCAAGGGCCAGGGGCTGGTGAGGCGCCTCTTCCTAGGCGCCCCCCGAGACGCCACCTCGAGCAGTCCGGGGCCAACCGAGCGACCAGCGGCTCCTGGGGTTTGGGCCGCGCCCCAAGATGCCCCGGAAGCGTCAGGAAAGCGGGCGCTGTGCCCTACATGCTCACTACCCCTGTCGGAGAAGGAGCGCTTCTTCAACTACTGCGGCCTGGAGCGCGCGTTGGTGGAGGTGCTGGGCGCAGAGCGCTTCTCTCCGCAGAGCTGGGGCGCCGACGCCAGCTCCCAGCCCGGAACGTCGCCGCCGCTAGGCTCTGGGGACGCCAGCGACTGGACGTCCAGCGACAGCGACACGGATCGCCCGGGCGGAGCTGGCGGCGGCGGTGGCGGCGGCGGTGGCTCGGAGGCGGCGGGCTCGGCGCGAGACGGGCGCCCCCAGGTGTCGGTGGTGGAGCGCAACGCGCGCGTCATCCAGTGGTTATACGGCTGCCAGCGCGCCCGCGGCCCGCCGCGCGAGTCCGAGGTGTGATCGCGGCCGCTCGGGAGCGGGCTCCCGGGGAGTCCGGGGTCCCGGGTCCCGGGAGGGCTAAGGGGTGGACGCAGGGCTGGACCCGGGCACGGGCAGGGGCGCCCTGCCTCTGAGGCGCCGGGTGCCTTTAGGAAAGACCTTCCCTCTGGATTCTTGGTCCCCCCCCCCCCCCCCCCCCCGTGAACCTTGGGAGGATGGGACAGAATGATTCAGAAGGCCCTTCCCAGAGCAGACGACCGAGGGGGAGGGGGCAGCTACGTGGCTCCTGTGGAGGCCGGATCTGGGGAGAGAAGCCTGGGGTGGGAGATCGGAGAACCTGCTGAATAAAGCCAAAACGTTATTTAAAGGAGTCGTGATGTTGGCTTAGAGAGCAGCTATTGAGGAAGGGGGCGGGGCGGGCTTGCGCCGAGTTACGCGCCTGGGTTTTTGGAATGCGAGTTCCCGACTCACTGTGTGACCGTGGGTAAGCACTTAACTTCCCCGAACCACAGCTGCACCCCTCGGTGATCAAAATATCGTTGAGATGGTCATAAAACGCATGGCAAAGTGCCCGGCATATAGGAAGTGTTCGATAAACGACAGCCACTAAAACCACTACTGAATCAGTACTAACTCCATTATGATCATCTCCACCATCGACCCCCAGAGGTCGGTCCAGGCTAGATCTGGGAGCCAGGAATAGCATGTTTGGGGAGTTCTGGGGAGGGGTCTGCTCCAGAAATATAGGTCTGCTAGTCGGAAAAGGACCCCATTCCCGGAGATTTGCTGCCCTCTTTGGTTACTAGCTATGAATGGGCTGAGACAGGAAAATTCCAGAATTGAGGACAATAAAGGAAGGGACCATTCAAACCAGGACTTTGATCATCGGCAGCCTCACATAGGGCCACTGTCTTCCTTTCCCTCAAAGACACACAAGGTCATTCGATTGCCTCCAAGTCCACATCTCCAAGTCTTTGCTTAGGGTCCTCCTTCCTTTGCCTGGGCTACCTTCCCCTTTCCACTCATCCTTCTAAGATTACATGTATTCATTCTCCCTCCGAAATTCCTGAACTCCCCAGTTGGCCTCATCTCCGAGCACCCAAGTACAGCCTTATTTTTGTGTCTCAACTTGTCACCTTTTGTGGGACCCGCTGGTCGGTGAGTCTCTGACCTTCCCCCAGTGCAGGGACGGTGCGCGTAGGAGGGCCACAGGCAACGTTTGTCGAATTAAAAGAGGCTGAACAAGGTGATGGGGGCCTGTTCTCTGGGGTTCCCCAGTTTCCTGGAAAGTTGTATCCTAAATCCGACACCAGGGCTGTCTCGTCATTTTCTCCCTGTACATTTGTGGGGGAAGGGAGTGAGGGCGCTTTGAGCTGGACCTGCCTTGAGGTTGCCCACCCAAAAGCAGTCATCCCCGCCGTCCAGACAAAGGCACGCGGTCACACGGGGGGTCGGGTCAGGGTTTTTATGGGAGTGGGGGAAGAAAGGAGGGGGTGTCCAGCTGGGCCGGCCGACTAGTCGCCCTTGGGCGCAGCCTTCACCCTCATCTCGGCCAGTTTGTGGGTGAGAAAGCCCCACTTGAAGCCGGCCACGTTGTCGGCCTCCCCCGGCTCGGGGCGCTCGGCGGCCTCCTCTGCGGCTTCATCCCCGGCTTCGGGGTCTGGCTCCGGGTTGGGTTCGGCGCCGCGCAGTATGGATGCCGCTGCCGCCTGCTGCTGCTGCCACCTGCTGGCGAACGCGTCCCAGAATCCCGGCCCGCGCGGCTCCACCTCCGTCGCGGTCACTGCCTGCGAGGGGGACCGCGCCGCCAGCGGGCTGCGGGATTAGGACGGGTGTCACCGGCCGAGAGGCCCGAGGAGAGGACGAAGAGGGGAGACAAGGCTCAGGCGCCAGTAGTGGGACAGGAGGAGCCAGAGGGAGGTCAGGTGACGGAGGTGGGGCGGGAGACTGGAGGTCCGCGGAGGGCTCAGAGGCACAGGGAAAGGCGGCTGGGGTGAGACAGTGTCAGAGGATTAGGTGAGGGGTCTGGGAAGAGGGGACTGAGACCACGATTCCTGGGAAAGAGTCGGGGTCAGGCGTTTAAGAAAGACGGGGAGAGGAGTACAGCCAGAGGAGGGAAGAAAGCCTGAGCCGTGGAGTCTGGAAAGCTGTGGGAGGATCCCGGACGAGGGGCGGGGCCCAGCGACGGTTGGGGCGGAGTCAGACTCTGGGAGAAGGGGTCCGGGAAACCAGGGTTGCAGCCCTGGGGAAAGAGGCCGGGCGGGGGCGAGCGCGAGGGTGAGGTTCTGGGATGGAGGGAAAAGGGGACTGGGAAAAATGAGGACACACCGGAGAGAAGGACAGGTGGAGCGACCCAAGGAAATAAAAAAGGCCTAGATGAGGGGTTAGTGGGGAGGAGGACTGGAGGGGTGGCAAGGCGTGTGGGGGGAAGGGCAGTCAAGGAGCGATGCTGAGTCTTGAGGTGGGAGCCTCAGATCTGAGGAGGAGTCCTTGGAGCTCTGGGAAGGACAGGGGATGAGCGCCAGGAGGGAGAAAGGGACCCCTGGGGAGGGAGAGATGGGTGGGTCAGGGGGACCCCCAGGGGAGAAAGGAATAGGGGAGTGTCAAAGAAAGGGGGTGTGACTGGGCTGGAGGAAAGGGCAGAGAGGGATTGTGTGCCAGAATGGAGCTAGGAGAAAGGAGCTGCCCTGGGTCCTACCCTACCCCCAGCATCAAAGCCCTTCTAAGTCAGTGGTTTCTAACTAAACTAGTGCCCCTCAGGTCCCCCCCACCACCACCCACGAGCAAGCTGCAAATACAGATCCCAGACCTCAGCCCAAACCTGCCGAATCAGAAGCTTTGAAGCTTTGAAGGTCTGGCACAAACTCCCTAGGAGGAGGAGGGTTTAGACCAGCACTGGGAACCACTGGTCTGGACCACCCTCTGTTCTGAACACCTAAACGTTCTCTCTTCTGTTCCTCAATTGTAGGGAGAGGACCCCCCCCAACCATGCGGATGGGGAGGAGAGAGAGTATAAAGTACCTTTCTAACACCTCAATTCCAACAGCCCTTAAAGTCCTCCTGAGATCTGACCTAAACTCCAGATATGTCGACTTGGCCTCTTTCCTGACAAGAGAAACGGAAACAGCCAGGAGCTGGCTCTCCCCCTGGCTCCCTGGTCAGAAAGATAGACAAATAGATCAGAAGGAAAGGACATGGGGACGTCAGGCCCAGCCCAGCCCCCACCAACACGCACGTACTGGTCCGCACAGGGCTCCGGTGGCAGTAGCTTGTCCTCATCTTCTTTGTTAAACAGAGACGACATTGTCAGCCAACCTTTCACCCCAACCCCCTGAACCTGGGAGGAAGGGGCTGGGAGTCAGGGAGGGGGTCACAGCAGCCTCTGCCAGGCGCCCCGGGGCTGGGGTGAAGAAGGGAAAACTCACCCGGCGGGCCAACTGTGACATGGAATGGAAAGCCTCTTCTGCGGGTTCTGCCGGCTCAGATTCCGCTAACGCTGGGTTCCCTCTCTGGGACACAAGACCCCCTCCCAGCATGAGAGAGGCCCCAGAGAAATGAGACCTCCCTCCCTGACTGCTAGCCTGGTATGCGCACTCCGGCACCCCAAACCCTCCCACCTAAACACCCATCTCATCCACTCACACAGCCCGTAAATCCAGACAGGTGGCCCTCTACATAAAGCCACAAGTCCCATACCTTACCTGGATAGTAGACCCCTGCAGACAACCTTGAGCACACACCTGCTCACCCACAGACACATCCACACGGACCCAGAAATGTGCGGACAAGGGCATGCATGCCAATGCAGACACACCTGTATGTAAGCAACCCCACACAGCTATACCTCTTCCCTTGTGCTACATGTACATCCTGGGAGGCACCTCTACAAGAACATGTCCTCAGTTACCCCATTCACACCTGTACACTTACACCAATGCAGACCGCTGCCTGGAGGCCCACCCACAGCTCCTTCCACCTCTCCACCCCTCCACAGACACCAAGGCCGAGACGTACACACAGGATAAACATAACAGCTGACAGTGCCTGCACAGAGGGATCTCCGGAAGAGACTTATGCCCCAAATCCACACACCCAAAAATCCCTATCTCCAGTTCACGCCCACCCATACAACTTCATGAACATTCTGCACGGACCCCAGTCCTCATACCAACCCACAGCTACTTCTACACAAGCCCAGCCTGGGACACCCACCTGTCTAGACAGATGCTTCTTCACACTGACACACACACACACACACCCTTACAGAAATAGTTCCTGACCCTGCAACACCTGTTTGCACAACTGCCATATATCACAGCATCTGGATGGAAGACTGTTCCCAGCTTCAGAGCTTTTTTGATCTTTAATGTCAGGACAAAGGTGGTCCAAGTCAGCCTCTGACCTGATGCTGCAATGGTGACTCCACGTCAAGTGCTGCTTTCCCTACTTCCAGTCCCATAGGACTCACTTCCTCTCAAGGCAAGCCATCTGCATTCCGCTGAGCCCTGCCCACTAGAAAGTCGTGTCAAGCCCCATGTACCCCTGGTGGCTACTGTCCACTGGTGCTGGAAGGATCTCTTCCATGCGGTAACCCTTGAGATCTTTGGAGACAATGACTATTCTTCTGGTGGTCCCCAAATCTTCTCCCTCAGTTTTCTTCAATACCCTGGCTTTCTGCACCATGCCATTTGTCATCCCTGAATGTGCTGCTGGCTTCTGCACAAATGTGCCCTTCCCCCATAGCCTGTCCCTTGCCCTTCCTTGTACCTTTCACACCTGCTGCCCCTCTTCCAGGACCCACCCAGCAAGCATGGATTGTACCCACCTCCTCTGCCAGGTCCTCCTCAGGTTCTCCACTTAGGGTCTGTAACACTTTGGACTTGTAGGTTTTCCAGAAGGCCTGGTTCATGGCTGCAGGGGAAACACACCTGGCACCCCAGTTCAGGCAGGCAGTGACTCAGTGGTCACCCAGTGGGTCTGGCTCCAGGAACTTGGTGAGGCCAGGAGCTTGTCCCAGGGATCAGGTGACTTCATTAAAGATGCACCAGTCTCCCCATCTGGCAAGTGTCCAGCAGGTGAATCTGATCCAGAGGAGTCTGGGGTGGGGATGGGACAGAGCTGGCTCCTGTGGCTTTAGTCCCTGGTCTTGACCCATATTGGCCAAGAATAATGAAGACATCTCCATGGAGGCCTCCTTCCTGGCCCTAGGGGTACTTGAATTTGAATTTGATCTCTCGGAATGGCTCCAGGAAAAATCTATTTTCATTCACAAAGTACATTTATAAAGTCTTTGGGCCCGAGACCCACTCTGGTGCTCCTGTGGTTGTAGTCACACCAGTTGTGCCCTAAGCAGGGCCTGCCCTAGATCCCTACTCAGCTGTGAACTGGATTGAGGAGGTCCTAAGGCCCCCAGCTGGCACCCTGGGCTTACATTTCATTGCTTTGTCTCGGCTGGAAACTGATTCCCTTCCCCAGGGATGCACGTGCACGTCTACCTGTTTCCTGGCAACAGGTTCCAAAGAGCTGGAGTCCCTGAATTATTGCTGAGCTCCTCTGGTCAGCCAGAAAGGCACCAGGTTCCGATGAATGGGGAAAGTCTCTCTGGCCCTCTCCCCATTCTGAGCACACAACACCTCAGCTGTATCTGCCTTTGCTGCCAGTCCATGCCTGGGAATCCAGGGCTCAGAGAAAGGGAGGAAAGATGAGAGGTCCTTCTGTGCGCACTTCCTCTTCCTATGAGAGCAGCTGACCCCCATTCAGTCTGAGGGCATGCCTGTGCACTGTCCTCCCCAAGGAGGAACACTCCTTGCTCACGGATCTGACTGGGGTGGATGAAGGATGGAGATCCAAGGGAATACGTGGGGAACGGTGAAAAGTGGTGAGGGCTTTGTCAGGAACTGGAACTATCTCAGGAATCTTTGTGGGGGCCAGGATCGCAAACGTACTCACTCTTACTCATTAATTCATTTATTCACATCACGGACATTTTTCAGCGCCTTCCAGAGATGCGCGAAGCACTTTCCCTCTCCCGACTGACCGCAGAGTCTAAGATCTGGGAAGAAGCTAGGGGTGATAGTGCCGGGGGATGACGCAGAGATGCGCTGGGCCAGGCAGGACGGGAGGGCAGGGACCGGAATCCCCCAAGGGCACGAACCACCCAGCCGCTCCCCAGCAATAGCCTCGCTCCGGTCCGATGAAGCCGCTTCTGGGCCCCGCCCCGCGCTCCGTCACTGACGTTGATGGCCGCGTGGGGGCGCTCAAGACACCAACAGCGCGAGTGACGTCATCTGAGGCGGTCTGGAGTAGCCTGCTCTGCCCCCGGGCGTCACGTAACGTCATCCCACAATCCGGAAGCTCCCACACGTGTGCGCCCGACCCGGCTCTGGGCGTCCTGGCCCCTCTGTCACCGGCCATGGGTCGCTCCCGCCGGACGGGTGCGCACCGAGCCCACTCCCTGGCCCGCCAGATGAAGGCGAAGCGGCGGCGGCCGGACCTGGATGAGATTCACCGTGAGCTGCGGCCCCAGGTTCCCGCACGGTCTCGGCCAGACCCGGGCCCTGAGCCTGACCCCGACCTGCCAGGGGGCGGCCTGCATCGCTGTCTGGCCTGCGCGTGAGTCCCGCCCCGGCCTGGCCTGGGGAGGAGGAGGGTAGGCGGGTCGGGACGCGCAGGGTCTCCTCTCGTGGGAACCGTGGGTCTCCTGGTTTCCCATCCCTTCGGGTTCGCTGCCAAGTGTCAGGAATAGCTAGGTTCAGGGAGAGAGGCATACCTGAGAGGCATCACCTCGCTCTTTTTACCCACCTCCCATCCCTACAGGAGATACTTCATCGATTCCGCCACCCTGAAGACCCACTTCCGATCCAAAGACCACAAGAAAAGGTATGAAGGAGTAAGGAGAGGACTGATGAACGTCTGGGCAGACAGGGCTTGCGTCTGGTCAGCTCCCAACTCTCATTCTTCTTTCTCCCAGGCTAAAGCAGCTGAGCGTGGAGCCCTACAGTCAGGAAGAGGCCGAAAGGGCAGCGGGAATGGGCTCTTATATGACCCCCCAGCGACTGGCAGTGCCCACGGAAGTATCCACTGAGGTCCCTGAGATGGACACAACTCCCTGACATGACCTGAGATGCAAGTCAGGAGAGCTGCCCATGGACAGCGAGGCAAGGGCTAGGCTGGGAGAGACTGTGCCAACCTCTCTTGGCCCTGGGCTTGGGGAGTGGAAAGCCTCACCCCCAATAAAGAAACTGGTTAGAGAAGATTTGCCTCTGACTCTAACCTCCAGGCCACTCCCCCTAGCTCCTGCCCCGGGGGCGGGGGAATGGGTTCTGCTACTTTTGTTTACAGGGCCTAGGGTGTCTATTCCCTATTTGGTCCAGCTTTGGAACCTACAGCCTTGCCTTCCCTCGGGGGTCCTGCATCTGAGCTGGAGACCCAAAGTGGAACCCAGGTCAGTGAAGGGGAGAGAAAGGATCAGGTTTATACTGTCCTGCTCCCATGAGAGCAGGGACTGGCCCTCAGAAAAGAAATGGGCTCCCGAGATTGCAGCCCCTGCTGAGTCATCTCCCCCAGGACCCAGGTAAGAGGCCACCTACTTTATCCTCAGGCCTGTGGCCGCCGCCGCTGCCCCACCATCTTCCAGACAGCATAGCAGGAGCCACCCAGTCCCAGGACAGCCAGCAGTGTAGCCACAACCCCAGCCAGCGGACTTCGGGGCTCTGCTTTCAGCTCCCCAGCTATCTGCATCTGGAGATACATAGAGGCTCCATCTGAGGGGTGGGTCAGTTGAGACTTCTGGGAAGGTAGAGGGTGGGAAGGAGCGGAGAAGGTACGGCTGGGTGAAGGAGATACGTGTGCCATTGCTGCCCCAGGGAGATTCCATCCCAATCCCTCTCGCTTCACTGCCCATCTGGGCCCTGGCTGCTCAGGCGGCAGGAAACGTGACAGCCTGGCTGCTGGGGGTGTCAGCCCAGCTATGGTAATGGAAAAGCGGGGGGTCGGTGGCCAAAGCCCTCAGCGAGAGGTACTTACCTGTAGTACCCGGAAGTAGCCCGGGGTCAGGCGTCGGAATCTCATGGTGGATGCCACTGGTCTCCCTGGCGGCCTGTGAGGTGGAAACAGGAATGAGGGGTAGTGGTGTTGGTGATACCCAGGAGCGGAAATCAGGGCATAGAGGTTTCTGACCTCCCATATGCATGAGAGCCATGCCTCAGAGGATGCTCACCAGTGTTTGCTCTCCCAGGTCTGGCAGGGGGCGGGGCAGCTAAACCTTTAAATCTGGTCCCTTCCCCCTCCTGCCCATCCTGCCAGCCTCAGGAACAGCTGTCAAGCGAGATCAGCATCAGGCCTGAGCAGCACCTCCCCCACTTGCCAGGGAGGCCAGGCTGGGTAGGCAGGAGAGGCCTTGCCTGGCAGCGCTTAGGAGTCTTAGACCTGGACCAGGTACTGGGAGGGTCTCCCCAGCCCTGGTTCCGGCTCTTTCCCTACCCCTCAGATGGTTGGATATCACCAGTCAGTCCTCAGCAAAGGAGGAGCAGAGTGCCTTATTAACTTCCTATCCTCCCAAACATGGGTAGGCCTTTTCGCTTGGTTTCTGTTGGATCAACGGCCCCTACCTTGGGGAGAGGCACATACCACTTCTTTCTCCAAGATGAAGACTTTCCTATTCTTGGCTTGAGGACAATAATAAAAGAAGATCAGTATATACTGATTAAGAAAGCTGTCCACGGTATGCTAAAAACCAGTGGCCAACCGTGTCAGGCAGTATTCTAAGCAGTGAACATATTTTATTTGGTGTTGACTATCTCCTAAAATGAAAAAAATAGCATGTGGCGTATCTGCCTATGTAGAGAATGGAAACTTTTACAGTTGTCCCCATTTGGGAATGGAAGAGAGAGAGAACGCCCTACTGTTAACCTTTGAATGTTTTACAGCAAATGTGTAGAAGTAACTCTTATAAACTCATAAAACTACTACCATTTACTCTACCCTTACCTGCCAAGCCCTACCAGATGCACAAAATAAAGGCAAGGTTGTGGGTGTGAGGCCCCCAGGCCTTTCAGGGGAGCAATTGAGTATGAGCGGTGAGTTCCTGTCTGTTTCTCCCCTGCAAGATTGCATGTTCAGGGAGAGCAGGGGCTGGCTGGCTCAGGGAAGGTGTTTGACTAAATCAGGATGGTGGAGACTGGGTCTGTGTTTATTGGGATTCCCCAGAGTGCCACAGGAAGGCTGTTGAAGGAATAGGCAAAAGTGTGAAAGGGGGGGTGCAGCGTGGAGCAGTGATGGAGGGACACGTGCTGCGCAGGGTGTAAGGAGGCATCAGGCAAAGGAGGAAGCCAGAGGTGAGGGCTGTGTTGCACATTTGGAGACTCCTGGGTCACCAGTGAGGGAGCAAGGCCTGCAGGGACCTGAGGGGACCTTGAAAGATACAGCCAACAGTCTGCATTCATGTTCGATGCCCCATGTGAAGGTGGGAAGGGGTCAACAGCCCTGGCCAAGGTCCAGGGACCTGGATTTGTATATGAAATTATTCAATGATGACAACTGAAACACACTATAAGAGCCATCCATAGGCCAAGAGCAGAATTTGGGTTTTAGGGCAAGATCATGACAGGCTTTGAAGGCATTGGGGCACTGGTAGGGATTCCAGAGTGACATAGAGGGCCAAGCCCCTCTCCACAAAATCAAAGCAATAATAACTCATGTGTTTCCTATGTGACAGATTTCAAAGTACTTTGAACAAATCTTCACTGTGCTAAGGTATAGATGTCCCTGTTTTAGATGGGAAGAAACAGGTTCAGAGAGGTATTGAGGTTAGTCTCAGTCACACAGCAGATGGAACTGATTCTGTCTGATTACGAAGTAGTCCGGGGAGTCTCCTGGCATGGGATGATGATGATGGTGGTGGTGGTGAGGATGGTGACAGTTCTAAACAGTATGTTTCAGACTTGTTCTAAGAGAAAGGGTCTTAACTGGGATTCAGAATTCAGGGGAACCATAAATTTGGATGGGAAAAAATGTTACATTTTTCACTAACCTATAACCAAAATTTACCATTTCCTTCTATATGGATTGACATATCAGTAGTATCTGTGTCTTTGTCACCTATTGAAATCACAGATATTTTCATATCAAAATACAGTTGTTCAACGGTCTCAACATTATATATGCTCATGACTATTTCAAAATCGTGATAGTTACTAGCCCACTACTAAATCACACTCTTTCAGACTCTCCTGCTACGTAGCCACCATTGATTGGGCAGCTGTGGCCTAGCAGAGGATTTGTGACCAAATGGTGAATCTACCCGTTCTCTCGATGGTGACCCAGGCTTCCCCATTACGCTCCTGCATTCCCTATGCTTAGTTGTTAACTGATAAATACGTGCAAAAAGGTGAATCAAAGACCACCCCACAGCTGAGCGTTCTTCTAGGTGAACAGCATGCTGATATCGTTACAAAAGGAAAATTTAAGTCTTATTTAATGCTAATAAACACATTACTATATCATAAATTTGTGGTGTTTTTTTTTTAAAAGATTTAATTTATTTGACAGAGATTACAAGTAGGCAGAGAAGCAGGCAGGGGATGGGGTGAAGCAGGCTCCCCACTGAGCAGAGAGCCACACATGGGGCTCGATTCCAGGACCCTGAGACCATGACCTGAGCCAAAGGCAGAGGCCTTCACCCACTGAGCCACCCAGGCACCCCTAGGATTTTTATTTTTTTAAGTAATCTCTACACCCAGCGAACATGGGGCTCGAACTCACAACCCTGAGATGAAAAGTTACACACTGTACTGATTGAGCCAGCCAAGCACCCCAATCATAAATTTGTGTCTAGTTTTGTTTTAAGATTGCATTTATTTGCCAGAGAGGGAGAGCACAAACAGGGAAGCAGCAGGCAGAGGGAGAAGCAGGCTCCCCACTGAGTAAGGAGCCTGATGCAGAATTGGATTCCAGGACCCTGGGATCATGACCTGAGTCAAAGGCAGATGCTTGACTGACTGAGCCACCCAGGTGTCCCATAAGTTTGTGTTTTAAATATATTTTGGTTATAATTCTCTTCCTTGTAAACTTCGGCAATTTTAAAATGTTTCCAAAAGCACTATTCTGAGAAAGCGTAGAAAGCGTCCGTAGCTTTCATCAGAGTGCCAGAAGGGGTCTGTGTGCCAAAAAGGGGGGGGAACTAAAAACCCCTATTCCAAAAAGTTTTAGAGCTATTAACGCAGGTACTATGCACAGCAGCCCATTTTGCAGTCCAGCTGAGGCTCGGCAGCTAAGAAGCTGCGGAGCTGACATTTGCAGTCGGGGCTCTGGCTCCCTAACCTCTCTGTGCTTTGCTGCTGCACTCCCTGCTCACCTTTCTTTTTCTTTTCTTTCTTTTTTTCTTTTTTGAGAAGCCTAAAGGTCAAAGGGCAGTTTGGGACGGGATCCTTGGGTCTTACAGCAGGGACACCGCCTCGGGTAGGGATGCGGAGTAGCCAGAGGACGCCTGGAGGGCGGGGTAGGAGGCGGGCCAGTGGCAGGCCAATGGAGGTCGCAGCGCCTCACCTGGCGGTCCAAGTTGGGCCCAGGTGTGCCGGTGGCTCCGCCCCGCGCCCGGCCCAGGTCCCTCCTCAGGCCGGACTCCGCGGGCGGAAATTCCTGCGCGGGCGGGACCCGGCGGGAGCAGATCCCAGCGGGCGGTCTCGGCCATGGAACCAGTGGCGACCTGGACCCCCGGGAAGGTGGCAGCTTGGCTGAGAGGTGGGCCTGGGCAGAATCGGGCTTGAGGGGCACTGCGAGGGGAGAGGGAAAGGAAGAAAGGACGAACCAGGTCTGTCGGTTAGTCAACAAGTCATGTATAGACCGTCTGCCAGGTACCCGGTACTGTGCTAGGCAGAAGGATCGGCGGCATGACCCCGGGGGCCCCGAGAACTCAGAAGGGGTCTCCCGGCGCCCCAACAACGCCGGTGGCGGCCAGGGTGGCGGCGGGGAGGCGGAGGTGGTGTCAGGAAAACAGAGAGGCGGCCCCAGCGCGCCTCCGCCCACTCAATCTCCTTTATCTTCCCTCGGCCCCAGGGCTCTGTGGGCTGTTCTTAAACCCATTTTTCAGAAACGGAAACTAACGCACTGAGCCAGGAAGTGATTTCCTTGGGCTTTGGAATAGGCCCGGTCCTCCTGTCTTTTCCTTTGTCCCACCTTGAGGTTCCCAGTGAAAGAAACAGAAGGCCCAGCCAGACCGAAGGGGTTGGCACAGCCCCACCCTGGGGGCCTCCAGGGAGGACATGCTGACCAGCGTCAGTGAGCCCCAATGGGTGGGAAACGGCCCAGACTGCAGTTAGGAGAGGGGAGGGGAGGGGAGTCCTGACAGCCTTTCTGGGAGGGAAGCTCCCAACGGAGTGGAGGGGAACGGAGGACTCTGCTGGCAGGCTCAGGGCTCAGAGCGACCAGCCCTTGGAAAGCAGGAATTCAGGCCTGGAGTCAGACTCCCAGGCCGACCTCCAGGCCCCTCCCCTCCGCTCACCAGCTCTGCGACCAGAGGTCTCAGTTTCTCCATCTCTAAGATGAGAGAGTCTGCAACTATATCATGAGGTAGACAAAATGAGACAATCATGGCAGGAGCCTAGCCTGTGTGGCTCAGTGTAGGAGGCTTTGGGGAGGAAGGCAGAGCAGCAGGGTCACTGCACAGGGCAGAGGGGCTGTCCAGGGGCTGTATACCTGGAGAAACAGGTGTGGGAACTCGCAGTCCAGTGTTCTTAATGTCACCCGGGGAATGAAGGAGAAATATTAATGACACTCACACTCCCTGGTGATGGAGCCTGACTTGGAATGGAAGGAATTCCTTCAAAGGGTGAGCAAGCTACTTACTCCTTTTTTTTTTTTTAAGATTTTATTTATTTATTTGACAGAGATCACAAGTAGGCAGAGAGGCAGGCAGAGAGAGGAAGGGAAGCAGGTTCCCTGCTGAGCAGAGAGCCCGATGCACAGCTCCATCCCAGGACCCTGGGATTGTGACCTGAGCGGAAGGCAGAGGCTTTAAACCACTGAGCCACCCAGGTGCCCTGCTACTTACTCTTTGTATCAGTTTGCCCACCTGTAAAGTGGGGATGACAGTAGTCATTACCTTCTACACTCAGTGAGCACCAAATATGTTAACATGTAGATCGCCCTTGAAATTTTGCCTAGCCCATAATAAGCTTTTAATAGATGTTATTCCTATTTTTGGTCTGCCTTGTCTACCCTGTGCCAGGCATGGGCTAGAGTTCAAGATGGACAGTTATTTATGGCCCAGAACTTGAGTGGCAGTGGGAGCAGGAGAGCCCTGGACCCACCCTGGGGAGTTATGGAAGGCTTCCTGGAGGGAGTTGTATTAAAAAGGCAGGTAAAGTAGCTAGAACCACCCAGGCAGAAGAAATAGCACATATGAAGACCCTGAGGCAAAAGAGCATTCCAGGAGCCCCAGGCAGTTCGTGCTCTGGATCTAAAGTATTGAGTTCGAGGGGCTGTGGCAGGGGGTGAGACTGGAGAGGCAGGTGGCGGCCTGCTCATACAAGGCCTTGTAGGTCAGGGGAAAGAGTCTGCTAATGATATAATCGGAGATGTCACTGCCGTGATCCAGGGAATGGGCCAACCGCTTGACATGCATCCTGTCATTTGGTACCCACTGGATCAGAAAATAGGTGCTTACATTACTGCCATTTCCCAGCTGAGGCACAAAGCAGTTATGTTACTCACTCAGTAGTCTCATCTGTGAAATGGGCAGAACCCAGCCTGGGTCCCAGGATTGTGGTTAGGAACAGATGGGAGAGAAAGGGACTTTGTGGGAGTGAGGAAGTGGACTGAGAGTCCACGGCAGCCCTGTCCTCCCTCCAGGCCTCGATGACTCCCTGCAGGATTACTGCTTTGAGGACTGGGAGCTGCCCGGGAAGTACCTGCTCCAGCTCTGTCCCCGCAGCCTTGAGGCCCTGACTGTGTGGCCTCTCGGCCACCAGGAGCTCATCCTAGAAGGGGTGGAACAGCTCCGGGCCCTGGTGAGTGAATGAATGGTGGCCACGCTGGCCGAGAATGGGGGGCTGGCCGCTGCCAGGAGATAACCTGCCTTTTTTCTGGCCCAGAGCTCTGGGCTGCAGACGGAGAACCTTCAGAGCCTGACAGAGGGGCTGCTCCAGAGGACATATGCTTTCCAGAGCTTAGTCCAGGGCCGCCTGGAAGGCTGTGCCAAGACCCCTGCTGATGTCCTCAGTGCAGCCGTGGAGCTGGTGCATGAGGCCCATACCCTCCTTTTCTGGCTCACCAGGTACCTAAAACCCTACTGGGGAGGGGACCCTTCTCATCCTTGACCTCCTCTGCGGCCTGGGAGAGAATAGAGCTAGGCTGTTGTTCAGATGTTGTAGAGACGGGCAAAGAGGTTATTTGGTCCATGCAAAGGCACTGGGGCGCCTGGGTTCCCATCCACCCCGCAGCTCGTAATCATAACTGTCCCGACACTGCATGGAGAGCTTCTCCACTCCCTTCAGCCGCTGCTGCTGGTCCCACAGATGCCAGCTCAAATGTCACTCCTCTGGGAAGCCTTCCTGTTGTAGGTTCTCAGAGCTCCCTACATCTCACAGCGCCTGGAGTTATATCATTATTGATGTAATCATGTGTATAAGGTCTACCTAGTCCTTAGAATAGGGCGTGGCACATCCTGGGTTCTTGACAGATGAGTCCTGTGCTAAGTTTTAAGCTCTGTCGATGTATTAGTTCTCTCCTTTACCCCAAGCAAAACCCGCCAGAGCAGACATCCCCCCCCACCCCCACCTCCCGTGTGGCAGACCAGTAGTTGCCTATGAGTGGTTCCATGACTGACTGGTCATCACAGCCCCCTAACCACTGTCCTTACCATCCTTACCCCTGCCAGGTACCTCTTCTCCCACTTAAATGACTTCTCGGCCTGCCAGAAGATTGGGGAGTTGTGCGGGGAGCTGGGCCAGGCCTTGCAGGAGGTAGGAAAACCAAGGGCCAGGCTTGGCCCAGGCCGTAACAGACCAAGTCAGGCTAGAGCTTTTTATAACCTGTGAATCAGCACAGGATGGCATGTGGGGGTTGGGAAGAGACAGAGGCAGGAAGAAAGGAGGCCTGGCCACGGGGTAGGGGGCGATGGGGGTGTGGGGTCTTCTAGCTGGCAGGGGCGGCTCAGAAAGTTCGGCTCTGGGGATGGGGGTGGAGGGGGGAGGGTATGTATGGTGATTTCTGGGGCTTGGCATCAGCTGAACGAGACCCTGGAGCCAAATGTCTGAGGCCTTGTCATTCTGGGAAGAGACCAGCATTCAGGTCACAGGGAGGGACCACTGCAAAGCCCACCCTGCCCTCGGGCAAAGCCAGTGCTCCTGCCTCAGGGAAGGCTGTTGCCCTCTCTGCTTCCAGGACAGTCCGGCGGCCGAGAGGGAGAGCAAAGTCCTGAGGATTGTGAGTGTGGCTTCAGTTGAGTGGGGGGGTTGGGGTGGCGGTGGGATGGGACTCAAGGCTCAGCCTCCCATGCCCCCTCCCCCAGTGCAGCCACGTGGCTGGGATCTGCCACCACATCCTGTGCTGCAGCCCCCAGGAGCTGCTGGAGCAGAGGGCCCTGCTGGAGCGCGTGCAGCTGGACGACCCTTTGGTGAGCGCTGACCTCTCAGCAGCCTTGTCTGGGCCCTGAAATATGGTTCTAGGAGCCCCCGGAATGCTGTACTGTTACGGCTGGGGTCTTAGGTCATTAAGTACTTTCTCCAGTCCTGGGGGGCTTTAGCTGATGTGGTCTCAGGGGACACATTCCAGCCCTAGGACACAGATGTGGCAGGTTAGGGGACTGGGGAAAGGACACGGACTTAGTTGCTTTAAGCTTTGACTGGTTGAAAACACCAGAGCCCCCAGCACTGCCCCTGTCCTGCCCCAGCCCTACTGATCCCTTCAGGAGGGCGGCTGAGGATCTGAGACCTCATTAGTGAGCAAGCCCAGCCTCCTCCTGGCCCTTATTAGAGGAGGCGCCAGGGGCCCAGAGAGGAGTGACAGGCCCAAAGTCACACAGCAAGTTGGGCAGCACCTACCTGGAGCCAGCTGTCCCCCCAGCTCCACCCACAGAATACTCCTGGCCCCCCAGCACTCAGTGACTACAGCCTCTGCTTGGGCAGGGCCTGGAAATCCACACCACCAGTAACTGCCTGCACTTCGTGTCCCGTGTGGGCCCCCAGGTGAGAATCCTACGCCCTTCTCAGTTGCCCGCCCCAAGGCCCTACTCTCCAGTTGAGCCCGCTTCAGGCCTGTGGAGAGTGAACCCCATAAGCCCCACCCCACATACCAGGTCGCTGCTGACTCCCGGCTGCAGATCCTGCCTGGAGACGAGATTGTCCAGGTCAATGAGCAGGTGGTGGTGAGTGAGGAGGAAAGGGATGTGGCTGTTCGTGGCGGAGGGGAGGTGAGGGTGGGGGGTGGGGTGGGGGGG